GTCACATAAATCATGTCCTGCTGAAACTTGGAAGAAGTATGGGCACAATCAAATATTGTTGTAAATTTATTCCTCATGTGCAGATAAAAACTTTAGTTCAAACATTAGTATGGTCTCATTTAGATTATGCATCAGTTATTTGGTTGAATACAAGTGAATTGAATTTATTTAAGTTACAAGTGGCACAAAATAAAGCTGCTCGAATTGTTCAGGGTTGTAATTATAGAACAAATGTAAGTATGATGCACGATAGGTTGGTCTGGTTAACAGTGAAATGTAGATTAAAGTATTCACTGATAACATTTATAAGAAATATAATAACTATGACAATAACTAGAATAATTTATGACAAGTTATCATTTCTTTCGGACAATCATGATTACATGACGAGACAGACAAGTGAGACAAGGTGCGCACTACCGCGCTGCAGAACAAATCAAAGTCAAAGAGCGGTTTATTACAGAGCCATGGCTGCATGGAATGCCATACCGAGATTTTTGTTATTAGAGAACAACAGAAGATGTTTTCAAAAGAAGTTACAGCTTTTTTTGTTTACTCGACAGCAAATTTTGCACAATGAATTGTAAATGTGACGGATATGACAGCTTCTATAGTTTTTGTTTGTTATGGAAGTGATGTGAAATGACTTTTGATTCTTGGATAGATTTATTTAATGCTCTGTGTAAACTCTCCGTATTTACTTATTTGGATTTTTCATGAACGCTGAAGTGTGTGGTAACTTACTGGTACATCATTATTGGTTTGTTGTTGTTGGATGTGTGTCTGTGTGTGTGTGTGTGTGTGTGTGTGTGTGTGTGTGTGTGTGTGTGTGTGTGTGTGTGTGTGGACGGGTTTTTTTTGTAAAATATTTGTAATGAAATTGGAAGAGACCTCAGGAAGAATAGCTCCACGCTATGGTGGGAGCTAATGAGGTTCTCAATAAAAACATTAAAAAAAAATAAAAAAATTAAATAATCAGTGGCCACCAAGACCAAACAGCTGGTAAGAAGTGACTTTATGGTGAAATGAAGAAAATTAAATAATCCACCTCTGAATAAAGTCTGAAACAAATAAACCCGTCTCTAGACTTCCCCCCCATTGTTGTGAATAAAAGCAGGTCAGACTCTGCAGGAAGCTGAAGCAGCCGAGCTTCACCGTAGGTGGTGGTGATACACGTGGATGGGTAAAAGGATGGATGGTAGATGGATAGGAAGAAAGCACTTTCTATGAAGTGGTTAAGTAAGATGAAAATAAACAAGGAAATGAAAAAAGTCAAGAGAAATGTTGGTTTTGTCCCGAGGGAGGAGGCTTCAGGTGGGCTTACTGAAGCGGGAAGCTAGACACAACAAGGGTGGATGGTTTCCTCTGAACACTTCCTCATGCTGTCCAACTCTCATCTCACTCGTAAAGCTCATGATCAGTGACCCTCTACTGTCAGCTCGGCGTAGACACCACCATTAATAGTTAAACAGGAAGGCGTGCACACCCGCGTGCGCATGTGTGTGTGTGTGTGTGTGTGTGTGTGTTTGTAGAGATTCTATGAAACGTTGTGATTGTGTTTGTCTCTTTCCATCATGGCTGCCGCCGCTGTAGCTCTCTAACAGCTCACTTCCTCCTGATTCTCCTGTCACTTTCCTCTCCGTCTTGCTCCCTCTCCCAGTGAGACTAACGTTTGAAAACGTTCCTGTAGTAAAACAAAGTCATTCCTGGCAGACGGCGCGAGCTGGCCTGGGTGATTGTTGCCAGGTGAACCGTGGCCCTGGTAGACCTTTGCTAAGATGAGAGCTCCGCTGGATGGAGGGTGTGTGTGTGTGTGTGTGTGTGTGTGTGTGTGTGTGTGTGTGTGTGTGTGTGTGTGTGTGTTAAATCCTCACAGAGACACTTTATGCAGAGGGAATAAAACGTATCGGTGTGAGGTTTTCATAGACATTGTCGTGTGATCAAATAATGTCTGAAGCACAGTGTGCACCGGCGAGCTGCAGAGCTTTAGGTTATGGATTCTGCTGTCACACGTCTTTTTTCTCACACTGCCTGGAATCTGATTAATGAACAAAACATGACTCACGCACCAAATGAAATATTGAGGGACGGTTTTAGAGGTGTGTGGGTGAGCAGTGCTAAGATGTTTAATCTCAGTTTCATCAAAGGAATCTTTTCTCATCTAAATCAATGTGATGAATAACAAAGGAACGCTTTAGTTTTTGTGGGTCTCTGGCTCCTTTACTATCAACGTGACGTAAATCATGCATTTGTTTACTTGTTTATACATTTAGAGTTATTTATGCCACTGTCCTTAATGGTTGTTTTCACATAATTGTGATCTTTATTGAGTTTCCCAACTGTGGGATTAATAAAGTCTACTCTGTGATATTCTACTGATATTAAATTAGGACATAAATGAGTCCGTTTGTAGCTTTTCCTAAAAGGCTGTCAGATTACTGGCAATGAACCGAACTGAAATGGAAATAACCTCCAATTGTTTTTCTGTGTTTGCAGTCTAAACTAAGATGGGTGCTCAAGCTTGAGACTCAGAAAATAAAAGTTTAATTAAAGGGACATTATGGAAGTTTGACAGCCAAAACATGTACAGAAATAATAAATGTCTTCTTCATACATTCTCCTGCAATGCCCTGGTCCTGTAGAATGAGCCCTGGCGTTTTTACTGTGATTGCCTGTTTTTCTGTAAAATCACAGAAAAAGAGAGATGCTCGGGTCGAGCAGGCTGCTTCATGCGCGTTCACGCTCAGGCATCGCCCGTAGCATTTGCTATCCGTAGCTTTAGCAGCAGAGAGAGAGGCAGTGCCACTTTGTCGCTGTTCCTAACGCCTAGTGACAAAGCTAGCTACATTTCTGAGGACCCTTAGCTACTTTCTGTAGAACTTTCTTCTAGATATTTCCTGCAAATTAGCAACAAAATAGCCATTTTCACTCCGAACCGTTCTTTGAACGTTGTTTCAGCTGTCATCAAGGATATAAATGTTACAGATACAAAGGATGTCACTGGTGCTTTAGCTCACCTAATAAGATGTCGGACTCCCATGAGGAAGTCCTGGGTTTGATTCTGGATGTGAACAAAAGGGCCATTCCCATCTGTACCGGGTCGGCCCGGGCCGGGTAGCGTAGGTTGTTTACATATCTGGGTGGCCTGGTATTTTTCCGGGCCAACCAAGGCTCATTCTCAGCCCTCTTCTCGAGGGGGTCTGCTTCAGGCCGACCAGGGCCAACACACCCACTGCTGACAGCAAATTCACACCTTCCATTAGAGCAAGCCTCTGATTGGTGGGTAGAATCAGCCCACATGGGCTTAAGACAAGGATGTGTGGAATCAACCGGGCCAGGCTGGGGCCGACCGGGGCTACCCGGCCCGGGCCGACCCGGTACAGATGGGAATGGCCCAATAGTTTATTTAGAGTTTCATTTTTACATTAATGGTATATTTTTGACAGTAAGATGCCAAATTTTTATTTGAGACTCGCCGAACGGCATTGAATTCACAGATAAAAAAGATGTGGGTTCAACTTTCATTTTGGAACAATTTTTCAAGCAAGGGAAGGGAATGATCTGAGCATGCAGGAGGACTGACCCATCATAAACCTTTGTCGGCTGTGCTGAAGAGAAAGGCACAGAACCAAATTATTTCATTAATTAGCTGCACGTTCTCCTGTCCTCTGTCCTCCGGGCCACACACACACACACACACACACACACACACACACACACACACACACACACACACGCACACGCACACGCACACACTAACACACACACACACCGAGCTGGGGACAAAGAGGCTGGAGCTACAACTGGAGGGGCTGGGGATGCCTTAATGAACACACGGACCTGGGGGGAATGATCTGAAGAGGGAAGCCTAGAGGGCTGAAGATCTAGGGACAAATGGGGAACAGCAGGAGACACATGAGGAAGACGCAGACATGACACATGAGGGCGCTAGAAGACACAAAAGGAGCACCTAAAGACGAATGGAGGACAAAAGGAGACACATGAGGGGAGACGCAGACACAGACCATGACAAGGTCTTTATTCCCAGAATCCAATTTTTTTTTATTTAATCAGAAATTGGAATAAAGAATATTTAGTTTTTTTAGGTAAACTGGAATCAGAAGTCGGCATCAACCCTCAGACCCAGAATCAGAGCAAGTGTAACCAGAACCCGAGCAGAACTAAAGCATCTCTGTTCCTGTCGGCTGGATGAACATTATTAAATGGCATTTATGTAAATGTGGAGGAATTTCCTTCATTAAAAGCTAGGAGGAGGACGCACCACAGCAGTAATTGTGCTGTGATGTTCCAGCCCTGTAGTGAAACACGGCCAAGTCAGCTGTGACTGAATAACGAGAGCAAACAACTCTACTGAGAGCTTTCAGCCGCTCATTTATTAGTCCGTGTTGCAGGTTCTGCAGCAGTTCCAGCAGACAGACACTGATTGGCTGTCACCTCTACCTGCAGACATATCTGCCCCATGCTGCATCTGCAGAGCATATCATCAGGAGTATGTGTGTTTTCTTTAGGTGACTGAGGTAACCTCTCAGCCTTTGGTAACAGTTTTCCCCTTGTTGCCTAAAAAGACCCAGCCTCTGATGTTTTATTTCCCATTCTCACCACCCGTGATGTGTTCATCAGCCCGTGACCTGCTGGGCCGCGGGTTTCTGCTGTAAACAGACTCGAATGGAAAATGTTTTAACCTTGCAGAGCTTTCAGAGGTCAGCGATTAACATCCAACGTGCTTCTCCTGAAGGAGGAGCCTGATTTCAGACACCAGATAAAAGAGGAGGAGAGCACAACGAGACAGAAATGGAGGAAGTAGAGAAAATTAGTGAAGCGTATCAGCAGAAAGGAGGGTAATGAGACTGATCCCCTCTGATGAGAAAACTGATCATCGTGGTTAAGAGGAAGTGGGGAGTTTTTGACAGACTGCTGCAGCCTGGTTGGTCTAGTTTCTTACTCACGTTCTGCCTTTTTTATGTTTTGTCACTGAACAGCCAGGAAAACCTGCGCCCCAGCAGAGTTCGCCTGTTTAAACGGACAGTGTGTCCCGGGTCGGTGGCGCTGCGACGGGGAACCGGAGTGTCCAGACGGCTCTGATGAAGCAGAGGAGACCTGCAGTAAGTGTCACCCTTATAGCGTCTGTCGTCTGTCCTGCAGGTTAGTTACGGCTGCTTAGTCAGCGTCTCACTCGTCACATGGACTGTAAAACTCTGGTCTCAGATGAACCCAGTAGACTTCAGAAACAATGGGAAAATGAGCAGTCCTACTGAACCTCATAGAAATAGATCCATACGTGTTCTACTTACACATGTTTATGGTTTTGATGGAGCTGGAAGACCAAAAGCCTCTAAAACATCTAAAACTGTCATGTAAAGCCTGAATATGCATCACGTGAACACCAAACATGCCTCTGCTGTGGTTGTTTTGGATCAAACTTTGTGATTACAAATGATTTGATTGGTTTAGATGGTATCCATTTGTCTATGAACACAATTACTGAGCTGAAAGAGGAACCAAAGGGGTCGACTCACACTCTGGTAATGGGCCCAGATCGGCTCTGAACGTGTCCTCAGGTGCTTCTTCACTGGACAACGTGTCTGATAGACAACGTGTCTACTTTCATAAAGTTCATTTAAAGGCTTCAGTGGCGGTGGCAAACCAAAGAAGCCTCACACATCTAACCTGAAGTCCTCAGACTCCAGAGGTGTGGACTCGAGTCACATGACTTGGACTCAAGTCAGACTCGAGTCATTATTTTAATGACTTCTGACTTGACTTGATAAAATCTATAAAGTTTTACGACTTGACTCGGACTTGAACGCCAATGACTTGAGACTTGAATTGACTTGCATCTGTTGACTTGGTGTTGACTTGAGCATATTTGATATTTTAGTACAAAAGTGGCACAACGTGGACAAAAATCATAAATCATTCTTGGTTCTGGGTGTGATCTTGTACTGCAGGCTGCGCAGTGGTGCAGTGGTTAGAGCTGATGCCTTGAAGCAAGCAGGTCCTGGGTTCGATTCCCGGCCTGGGATCTTTCTGCATGGAGTTTGCATGTTCTCCCTGTGCATGTGTGGGTTCTCTCCGGGTTCTCCGGCTTCCTCCCACAGTCCAAAGACATGACTGTTAGGTTAATTGGTCTGTTTAAATTGTCCTTGACTGGTCTGTCTAAATTGTCCTTAGGTGTGAGTGTGTGATTGTTTGTCCTGTGTGTCTCTGTGTTGCCCTGCGATGGACTGGCTCTCTGTCCAGGGTGTACTCCGTCTAATTGCCCACTGACCGCTGGAGATAGGCACCCCCCCACCCCCACCCCACCCCCGCGACCCAGCGTGAACAAGCGGGCTCAGAAAGTGGATGGATGGATCTTGTTCTGCTAACTGCAGCAGCACTTTGTTTATTATCAGTTTCAGTTTCACTTTCTGCTTGTTTGAGCAAATAAACGAAGCTTTAAGAAACGTTAATTCTGGAATTTATTTATTATCATTATCATAAAGATTAAAGTTGGACAGTTGACTTGATTATAACTTGAAAATTCAAAGTTAAAAACTTGGACTTGACTTGAACTTCCACATCATTGACTTTGGACTCGACTTGGACTTGGTTGTCTTTGACTTGGACTTGACGTGAGTCTTGACTGGAAAGACTTGTGACTTACTTGTGACTTGCAAAGCAGTGACTTGGTCACACCTCTGTCAGACTCCATGATGCTGTGGAGCTTTATGACTCATGACCGGAGACGCCTGACAGCAGACAGGTGAAACGGAGGAAAGCAGGTGTTTTTTGGTCAGGTAAAAAAGCTGAATGTATAAATGTCGACAGACCGAAGACCAGAGAGGAGTCCAAACACCCGTCGGTGCAAAGTGAAGCCCTGGGGTCCTGTTAGTTGTGATTTAGGAACCAGAACCTGAAGCTAATTATCAAAGTCAATTTGAAGGCCTAAAACAATTCCTCCCACCTGCTTTACTCTTTATTTACATAGCACCAAATCACAATACACACACACACACACACGGACGCACGCATGCACACACTCACACACACACACACACACACACACACACACACACGGAGAGCTACATGGACATTCCGGCCTACACTCACCCTCCGGTTTGATTGCATTCATCACTAAACGTGTGTTTATGTGTCACTTTAACAAGCTGCTTATGCTGTTTCACAACCTCATTCAGATGCTGTTCCCTAGCAACCAGCATCACCTTCCTCTCCATTTATTAATTTCCCTCTGGGATTAATAAAATATATTTGAATTGAATTTGAATAAACGTCTGTTTGAGATGTGAACTGATATTATTTAACTTTTCTATTCTTTTGTTATTCATTTATGTGACAACGTGATCTGTTATTTTATTTAAATATGACCACAAAAAGATAACTGGTTTAAATGTTAAACCTGTAGGTCTATGGTGCAGCCGGTGGGAGGATTGATCGCTTCATTGTTCATCTGATGTACTAATTAATATTATTGTTATTTATTTATATGCATTTTCCCCCCGTGTCCTGTCTGGCTGTGAAGCAAACAGAATTAATGTCTGAATGCTGGTAACAAGCCTTACAGATTTACTCTCAGGTGGAGCATCAAAGCGTCTGCTTTTAATGTTGCCCTGATACTTAACACTTTATTGTTATTGTTTTTTGGATGCTTTTTAAATCTGACCAGACACGGAGACAGAGGTGCTTCTAGACCTGCAGAAGGAGAAAAAAAAGAAAAGGGGCACACAACAATACAACAGGAGCAAGCTATCACTGCATCAACCTGATGAGGAAATGTAAAATCAACATTGTTTTACTGAACAATCATGATAATAAATCAGTGCATTTAATGCCAACCACAGCCTTAAGAAGTGTTGAACGTGCCCAAGTCCATACTTTTGAGAGCACCATGTGAGCACCTGTGTGTGTACACACGCTTGTTTATGTGAGGTTTTTCTATAGGAGCGTCCAATAGAGTGTGAGGGACCACAGATCTGCCACCCAAAGATGTGTAGGAGATGGAGGGAGCTCCAAGTCCCAGAGATCCAGGAGCTGCCCCAGAGCACAGGGACCCCAAGGAGACTGCGACCAGAAAAGCCCCTGCCCCCCTCGAGAGGCACAGAGGGTCGCCCCGGGGGGCCACAACCAGCAGCCAGCAGAGCCCCGGGGGATATCAGCGGCAAGCCCACAGGCCCGCCCACAGCCTCCCACCCCCAAGCCGGCCGAGCCCGCGACCCAGGGGCGACCAACCCCGCCGGGGACCCAGCAGAGCCCAGGGACCCAGATCCCACCAGGCAGCCACCGGGATCGATCAGGCAGACGCCAAAAATCTTAAACCCCCCTGACCCGGGAGCCACGAACACTCAGGCAGACCAAGGCACCACACCCCACACCAGGTGTGGCAAGGGGAGGGGAAGCAAAAATGTGTAGCATCAAAAGAAGTCCCAGGAGAAGGGAGGAGTCAAAGGCCCCACCTGACATATACAGTCATACACAAACACAGTCACACACACCCTCCCTCATGCTCACACATGCACATACAACCAAAGACTTACAAAAATGCACACCAGACACCCACTCATGCTCCCCATACACACCCTATTCACCCTGGCCCCGGTACTGCTGCACAAGGGGTACAACCATCACCGGTAACCAGAGTTTGACCCTTTCTGCTGGGGTGCTGATGAGCAAGCTCCCCCGCCCAATGCCGAGCAAAGTGACCCACCACCCCAGACCCCAACCAGACAGCCATATCTCCCTCCTAGCCTCCAGCCCCAGGAAGCCAAGCAACAACAGAGGTGGCTAAGACCCCTAGTCTCCCTCCGCCTGCCCCAATACAGTGTTAGTGCGTGTTGATGAGGTGTTTTCATGGCTGTGGTGAGCGGGCAGTGCGGGCATCGTCTGGCCTACACCAGCTGATGCCACCACACCACCCCTCTTCCCCCCACAGCCCTCAGTGTCTAAGTGCATTTTAAAATTGGAAGTGGGCACCGGCACTCGGGATGAGGCTGAAAAATCCCCTTGCCAAATGTTGATTGTGCTCACTCCCAAGGCCCCAAGTGTGTGTTTGTGTGGAATGTCGTTGGTGTAAGTGTTTAATGTGCAAATAAAATTGGGGGTCAGGTTGCCACAGGAATGCAGAAATGGGGTCCACACCCACACCCCCTGACTTGTCCACCCCCCCAAGGTCCTATGTGCATGTTTGTGTGATGATGTGAAGGAGCAGGAGGAGGAAAATGTGTGCGGGGATGGGGAGGAATGGCTGGTTGGGCTTAGCCCTCCAGGGAGCCAGCTCCCCTACTGGCCCCAATAGGGGCCAAAATGTCACCCAGGGCATGGAGACCCCAAAGCAGCAGCATCGCAGAGCTCCACAGAGTCCGAGGGAACCAACGCAGCCCACAAATATTATTGTTAGAGAGGTGCTCCAGTTGGCCTGTTGTGTTAAAAACCCAAAATCTAAAATGTTAAAACATCTTAACCCTGTCAGGCTCAAAATAAGTTTTGAATAAAAGGACAGACAACTAAGTCCTTCAGGGGTGCTTCTGAGTTAAAAAATGCCCATTAAATATGTATGTGGAGTAACCAGGTGGGTAGGTTTTAATGTTGCAAATCTGCAACTCCTACCTCCAGAGGGTTAAAGGTAAAAAGCTTCAGATGAGGATCAGAATGTGTTTAAATGACGTAGCTCCAAACTCGGCTACGCTGAGACAGTTCTCCTCATGAAGCATAACGTGTTGTTTGTTAATCCCAGGACCTGTGTTTATACCAGATTGTGGATTTCAGAACAGCACAAAGGAAACGTGGCTCACTTGAATTTCCTGTCATGTCTGCTCCTCAGACGTTTGGAGCAGATTTAACTCGGCTCTCCTGGAATCTGCGTTCAGGTTGATAATTTCCCTCGCTGTCTTGGCTCTAGTGGCAGTTCTGCCGTCTCGCCTGCCTTCTCTCGCCCACACGCTTTAGTGCTCAACGCCGTCTGATGGCAACTGTGAGAAAGCCCTCGATTATCTCTCTGCCAGCTGTGAGCACCAAAGATTGTTGGCTGGCTGGCTTTTAGCTCCCGTCAGCCCCACAGCTCCTACGCACCAGCCCTGATGGAGTTCAGCGAGTTGGAATCAAGCTAATC